CACACACACACACACACACACACACACACGCGCGCGTTTGTTCTTGAACCCTGTGGGGACCTTCCATTGACTTCCATTCATTTTTTAGACTTCATTTCCTAACCCTGACCATTTACCCTAAAACTAACCTAAACCTTGGTCCTAAACCTAACCTCACACCTGTAGTTTTCRTTTGGACCCGTGGGGACCGGGCATTGATCCCCACGGTGCACTTCGATCCCCACCAGGCTGCTTTTTTGCTGAAAAATTTCCCCACGTTTTAGGAAAAACCCATCCATACATATACACACACACGTCTGGTTTTTATATCCCGTGACTTTCATTAATTTTTTGGAAATTTTACAGCCTAACCCTGACTGTTTACCCTAAAATTAACTTCACAGGTACCTACCTGACCCTAAAATTAACCTAAACTCATGGTGCTAAACCTAAGCCCCTCACCAGTAATTTGCATTCGTATGCACGTTCAGTCCCCACGAGGCTGCCTTTTCTGGAAAATGGTCCCCACGATGTAGGAAAAACCTGTCCCCACACACACACATCCTTGTACTTGCATCTAACTGAGGACTTCGTATTGACTTCCATTCATTTTTGTTACTGCATTTATACCTAACCCAGACATTTGCCCTCACACTAACCATTACTAGGTTATTCCTAACCCTAACCTGAACCAAAACTGAATTCACTCCAAACCTTTAAACCTAACTAGTAGAGCTGCAAACAAAGTGAGGACCAGGAAAAGGTCTCACTCTACACCAAAAACCTCACTTTGATAGTGATTATTTTGCAAGTGGTCCTCACTCTGTAGCAGAAACAAGTACACACACACACACAGACACACACACACACACACACGCTTGATAAAGGCTCATTAGTACCTGCAATAGGTCTTCACTCAATACTTCTGTTTTTTCAGCCCTGAAAGACAGAAATGATGTCGTTAGAATGACAAGGGAAAAACTTATATAAGTTCTCACACCGTGGGAACGTGGCAGAACACAAACATTTAAATTACATCATCATCAGATGAAGCTCTGTGTAAGAAATAAACAATACTGTAGGTGTGTCGGACAAAAAAAAAAAAAATGCACCGCTACGAAACAACTTGGTGTGTCACAATCAGGAAGCAGTGTAAGAAAAGTACTGTTGAGCCCTCCTGCAGATGCTATGTTTGATTTGAGTGTTGATGGAGAAGATCAGAGGGAGTTGTAGTGTGTTGTTTTGGATCTATAGAAAGCTTAAAGTAGGGAGGGTACAGGAACGATGCAGCAGCGGTGGTGAGATGCGCAGTATAGTGACTGACGGGTTCGAGGTGCGGCAGGGATTATATCAAGGATCGGCTCTGTGGTTTTAGAGTTGATAGATGAGGTCAGCCATCTGTAGTGAGAGTAGGGAGCATGTGGAAGGGAGCCTGAAGAGGTGGAGGTTTGATCCGGTAAGCTCACTGTAATTTAAATAGGTTTTGAACTTCATTTTTTTGTTTCATCTTCAGGTATGATCCAGACCACTGGTAGGGTTTGGAAGGCAGACGGACCAGTAAATCCAGAACCTTAATCTCAACTCTTTCTTCACCACAACTTGACCGAACCAACGTCCTCATTTCTGAGGCCCAAACCCGTCCATCCGTCTCCATCCTATCATCACTCAAGAACAAGATGCCCAGATACATGGACTACAGAAGTGTAGCTAAAATCTCAAAACGACGTGTAAACTTAAGTGGGGAACATCCTGACTCTGCAAGAGTGTTTTAGACCAAAAAATCTCAAATATTTTTGAACACGTTCTGTTGACGTTCACCATTCTCCTACTTTCCAGTACTTTCCAAGTGACCGGACTTGTTTTTGTTATTTCAACACAAGAGAACCTGCGGTATGAACACACACAGGTATGCAATGACTGTGTTGTGTATAAATCAAACATGGACTGATGACGAGGCTGGGTGTTGCCTACAACAAAGACGTTTATTGTCTTTAGAGGAAAGCTCCTGAATGAAAATGGTGTTTTTTAAGCCTGAAGCTACAAACATGTAAAAAAGTCGTAAACTGAAACACAACGTTGATAATAAACTGGAAAAATTAGCTTGTTTCAAAAAGAAACCAAACTATACACAAGTGTTGGTATAATCTGTTCACATTTTTTGATCAATTTAGATTTTTTTGAAGCAACAGTTAATATCTTACCTGTTGCACATAGATCTTTGCACAGGGTCAGAATTTAATTTAAACAGCAGTGAGCCATTCTGGTCAGTAGCTCATTAATCTGGTCAGAACTAAACTCTATCTCTCCACACTGAGGTCAATCAAAGAGCTATCTACAGCAGGTAAGACATTAATTGCTCTGATTGTTCTACTGCACCCCCACTTCAGAAGATTTGAACCAAAGGTTATCCTTCAAAAAGCCCAAATCAGCACCAAACAAAACGTAGTTTTCTACTTTTAATTTCTAGCCTTATTAACAACTTTTAGCTTTTAGCTATAATTCAGCTTGTTCGGAAAACTTTAGCATTTTTGCAGAAAATACCTTTTCTCTACTTTTCATTAGTCACCTGTAAACAATAAATATAGCTGTGCTGATGTTTTTAAATAAAACTAAATGAAGTTTTTTAAAGTCTAAAATGAATTAGGTGAAGGACACAGGTGAACACCGTCCAACAGCGAAGAAGAATCACTCAGGTGTACCTCACCTGACATCCTGTAATCACTAAAACACAGTTCTGAAAAACCCCACTGAGGCCCGGGTGAACTTACAGAACCATGCCGTTCCAGCGGGGCGATCTAGTCCTGTAGAACGGCAGCCTTTTTTTCCACATCCCCCAGCTGACAGGTGGTAAAGCACCTGTTTCCAGRCAGAAGCAGAATGGAAGAAGGAGGAACACGACCTGACTATCTGGTCCTTTCTCTTTCTCAATCAGCAGCCGGTTCTGTCAACAGACCGGACCGCAGAAGAATGTTAAAGTTGTGTTTTTATGGCATCATAAAAAGATAAAGTCGGAGATATTTATTGACTGATTGGTCCAAAGAAGCTGATATTGTTTGTTTATCAAAAGCAGCTTTTTAAGCCAGAACGTGTCCAGATTAAAGAACTAGCAGCCGAAGACAAATGCAGCAGGGTGAAATTGTTTCTGCTTCTATGTGCATCATAACAGAAACCCTTCGTCCTAGTCAGGGGTCTGCAACCTGCGGCTATGGGGCCACCTGTGGCTCTTTGGTACTTCTGCAGTGGCTCTTTGAAGATTGGCCAAAAATAATGAAATTATTATAATTTTTTTGTGTTTTTTATACCCACAACAGAAATTATTTGTACGCAAATATGTGATAAATACTACTAATAAAAAAAGTAAAACATGTTGATTAGCTCATGCTAGCCTGTTGTTTACTAAAATAATCCAACTTCTTTCAATGATCTTTTTCTCTAATCCATCAGAATTACATTGAAAGAATTTGAAGACAACATAATAATAAGAATTAAAAAAACATGCCTGAATAGTTCAGTTGTACTAGCTTTTTGAAATTTGGTATAAACTATACACGGTATTTTCTTGTTTACATGAATATAGACTTTTCATTTGTGCTGATGGGTAAAAATAATAATAAATAATAAAATTCACAATATATTTTTTAGCTTTATAATGTCACCTCCACTAGCCATAAAGATTCCTGAAAAGGCCCCGAAAAGGCCCATGGACCACCAGTTGATAATCACAGTTGTAGCTTGTTTTGCGGCTCCAGACATATTTTGTTAGTGTGTCGAGTAGCAGAAATGGCTCTTTTGATCACAAAGGTTGCAGACTCCTGTCCTAGTCCAACAAGCTACCTGTTCAGGTTCTCTGGTCCTGATTTGGTGGTCTTCAGTCTGAACTGTTATGTTCTCTGTTACCAGCAGGGGGCAATAAGACTCACCCAGGCACCCTGAGGGATAGGGATGTGTTTTTTAACAGTTTTAAAGCTGCAGCTGCAGCAGAATGAAGCTGCAGGACTGCTGGATGCACGAGAGCAATTAGATATTCACTGACCTGAGGTGAGCTCTAAAGACAAAAAAGAGTGTCTTAAAATGTGTTTTATAAAGGATTCTGTTGATTCTCTACTGCAAAGGTTTGGACAGAACCTCACTCTTTATAGCCTAAAGACTATTTACAGTGAGTCCTCGTCACTTTGACCAAACCTGAATCATATTTAAGTGATGACAACATGAAAAGGTAGTTGCAGAAGTTTATATTTCCATATTTTCTATAATATATTCAAAGGATATCTGCAGTAGAATGACAAATTAATGATCCTGGAGCTCTCTGTGTGCACAGCTGCACATCAAATCTGTGGCAGAATCAGCAAAATATTCAGTGAATTTTGACTAAAATTAGCCCGAGCAACTGTTGGATGAGATGTTTTCTAACAAAATGCACCAGAAAACTAAGAGTTTCCAGAAAACTGCTGGAAAAGCATGAAGAATTTTAAAAACATAAAATAAAATTGCTCAATGTGACATCAGTTTGTGACTATACAATTTAATTTCAGAAAGATGGAGAAAAATAGTTTTTAATTGTACTAATTTGGTTAATTTGTGAGTCAGAAGCTGAAAAGTTTGGGAACCACTGATAACAGCTTTTCAGCTAATGGTTTTTATATTTAAAAAATTTTGTCTGTCAAACTGCGTGTTTTTTTTTTTTTTTTTTTTGTATTTTCCATAGATTTAACTGAAGACTGCTGGTGACAAAGAGCTTTAAAGTTTCATTTAAATCTGGTTAATTATTTGTTAGTGAGTCATCCTTTCAGTTTTAAAGTGGTTTTTTTAACGATTTGTAGGTCWGAGTTAGCCAGTTTACGTGACTGAAAACGAAAAAGCAGCCAAAGTCCAGAGAAATAAAAAAAAAAATCTGCTTTGTTTCTGTCCTCTGACGATACAACCATCAGGTGTTCTCTGTCTGGAGGAGTTTGAGTAATAAATATTTATCAAACTGGTCTTTTAAGTGAGGGAATTTATTGTCCTTTGACTGTATTTATGCAAAAAAGCTCTGTTACAGTGAATAATTAATTCAGCCCACCTCAGGCAGGAGCACTGCTGGATGATGAGGAAAGAAAACGATTCAAGGACAAAAAAAATAGTTCCCCCAAGAGATTTGTTCCAGGTGAAGTCAAATTACCCAGCATGCCTCTCTTTACTGCTAACCGTGGTGATGCTGAGGGGATGGGGGTGTTGCTGGTTGCCATGGCAGCGACAGAGCGGGTGGATGGATTCAGCACGAATTTAGAGACAAATCATGTTAAAGTGGAGCCACAGAGACCTGGATCTGCATCTGGATCCTCATCTTCATCACATAAACATGCTCATTCGCACTCGGAAGACATGACAGGCACAGTTGTAAAGTAACCAAGTATAGATACTTTGTTACTGTACTTAAGTAAGATTTTTGGGTATCTGTACTTTACTTGAGTAATTATTTTTCAGCCTACGTTTTACTTCTTTTTCTTACATTTTTAAAAAAGGCAAGAAGTACAAAGTCGTTACTTTTATTTAATTTTTGCTTGTTTTCATTCCAGATTGTTTTTGTAAAAAATAAATACTATCCATACAAACTGAGCCTCCTAGACAGAGTGAATTTAATTGTGGTTGAATGAGAAGTATAAATTTATAAAACTCTGATACCGTATTAGTTTGTACACAAACAAATCATGTCASACTCCAGCAGGACATCATCATTAAAATAAAAGGACTGTACTTAAGAAGTATTTGTATTTCATGAATTATATTATTGCATTTGGCCACAGCCCTCAGAGAGAGTTTTGATTTTGGGGAAAAGCTTTGTGCAGCCTTGATATATGTATATAAACTGAAACAGCTGGACTAGTGCATCCTAAATTTAACATCAATTATTTTAATACAACAGTCATTTCTGCATTTTTTTTGGGGAGATCACCTCCTGA